ATCTCCCAAGTTGCTACTCTGTTCTACAGCCATGACTGTGACTGTTCCTTGCAATGTTGGTTTACGTTTACCTGTAGCTGTAACTCTTCCTCCTCCTTGGTAAAGACTGGTGCAAAAAAAATATTTAGCACTATTGCAGCCTGTGTAGCATTATTTGTCATGTTCTTCCCCGAACTCACCTTCAGTGGCCCTATTCCATTGGTTGATTTACTTCTATTCTTAATGTAACAACATTTTTTTTGTTATTATCCTTCACTTCTCTTGCCATGTTCAATTCAAAGAATTATGTGAATAAACTTGAGAGATCATTATCCCTCAGTAGAGCACACAACATCTTAAGTACTCAAAGTCCCACAAGTCAATTGAGCAAAACTGACGTTAAACCCACAGCTCCCATATCTATCTAAACTCACATGTTCAGGCGCATCCATTATCATTATAATAATCCTTGCATTTGATATAGCACTTTTCATACCTTCCAGACAGAATATACTGTAAAGTGACTTGACTGTAAATTTGTGGGTGATACGTGGCAGCCAATTGCACACAGCAGTGTCCCACAAGCAGTCGTGGATTGAAGTGACAAATTTATTATTGTTTTTTTGAGAGTTTATTATCAGGCATGTGGAGTAAGGAAATTTGCCCAAGGTTTTGGCCTACTGGGAATCAAACCCAGGTCTCTCGCTTTCGAGCCCAGTGCTCTAATCAGTGAGCTATAGGACTCTACATGATGTCATTATGTTCACAATGTATAAGCAACAGCTTGTCCAAAGTGATTGTATTCATGTTATCTCATGCTATCATCGACTGCCATTATGGTAGAAGCTGAACTGGACGTACCTTGGTCTCCTTTCGCCTCGCCAATTATTATATTCTTATGTTCTAACTATAGAGAGGTATTGGTACAACCCTATGATAGACTGATCAACCAAGTCAACTTAGAGATGGCAAATAGTAAAGTAGGCCAACAATAAAAAAAGGCTTACTTTAACCTAAGGAAAACTACCAATACGGTTTGCATGAATTCAGTAGTTTCAATTGCACCTTCAGGTCCTCTGATCAGAAATGCATTAGCCTTTTATGATTTCATTTTGCACCTTAGAGAGCATCTCATGATGTTGTATGGTTTATTAACTTTAATGTTACTCTATTTTGAATAAAAGGAGCATTTATTATATTCAAGCAGTCAGACTTTCTCACCATTTGCTTCTTTAATCTAGCTGACTGGAAGCAAAACAAACTATTCAAGAACATTTATTTTGTAATAACTTTAATCTCACAGTGGATCAGACTTGTAAGAAAGATAGAAGCCCATGGTATAAAAGGGACAGTGGCAGCATGGATCCAGAACTGGCTGGGAGACAGAAAGCAGAGAATTGTGGTGAACGGCTGCTTTTCTGACTGGAGGGAAGTGTACAGTGGCATCCCCCAAGGATCGGTATTAGGACCACTGCTCTTCTTAATATACATAAATGATCTGGACTTGGGTATAGCAAGTACCATTTCCAAGTTTGCGGACGACACAATGTTAGGTAGGGTGGTAAACAGTGAGAAGGATAGTAGCCAACTACAGGAAGACATAGACAGAATGGTAAAATGGGCAGACACATGGCAGATGAATTTCAATGTAGAGAAATGCGAGGTAATGCATTTTGATAGAAAGAATGAGGGGAGGCAATATAGGGTAGATAATACAATCTTAAGGGGGGTGAAAGAACAGAGAGACCTGGGGGTTCAGGTAAATTAATCCTTGAAGGTGGCAGAACAGGTAGATAAAGCTGTAAAAAGGGCATATGGGATTCTAGGCTTTATGATTAGGGGCATAGAGTACAAGAGTCAGGAGGTTATGATTAACCTATATAAAACACTGGTTAGGCCTCAGTTAGAATACTGCACCCAGTTCTGGGCACCACACTATAGGAAGGATGTTAAGGCATTGGAAAGGGTGCAGAGGAGATTTACGAGGATGGTACCAGGAATGAGGGACCTTGATTATGAGGAAAGGCTAGAGAGGCTGGGATTATTCTCATTGGAGCAGAGAAGGTTAAGAGGAGACCTAATAGAGGTTTTCAAAATCATGAGGGGATTTGATAGGTTAGAAAGGGAAAAACTGTTTCCACTGGTGAGTGTGTCGGTGACTCAAGATCACAGATTCAAAATAGTCTCTAAAAGAAGCAGAGGGGAGGTGAGAAGAAATTTTTTCATGCAGCGAGTTGTTCGAATCTGGAACGCATTACCTGAGAGGGTGGTCGAGGCTGATTCGATAACTACTTTTAAAAATGCAGTGGACGGGTATTTGAGGAGGACGGGTTTGCAGGGTTATGGGGAAAGGGCTGGGAAGTGGGACTGACATTACATTGCTCTTTTCAAAGAGCCAGCACAGACTCGATGGGCCGAATGGCCTCTTTTTGTGCTGTACGACTCTATGATTCTATGAAAAGCCAAATAAACTGCTGAGTAAATTTGGCTTCATCTGCATGAACATTTTGTTCTCTATTGTGCCGTCTCTCTATAATCCTACAGATTTAGTGAAAGGTTAAAACTAGACGAATTAGTAATATGTTTTCCTGATACAGATCTAAAGAACCCGGATCTATAGAATTCATTTTTCACAGGTGAGAAGCAGGTCTATTTTGGTCTTGTGTTTATTAACATTTTTTTCTGCTTTATGCTGACTCACTGGAAATCAGGGTATGGGCTGTTAGTGCTCCAAGGTCATTTCACTGGATGTAAATACTGTGTCGCAACTTGAGCAGGTAGAATAGTGTTAACGTTCAAGTGCAATTCTAGGGAGTACTGCATTGTTGAAAGTATTTTCTTTTGGATGAGATGTTAAATCGAGGCACCATTTACTAATCTTTATGATCTCTTGACAAGATTTAAAAAGTTCATTTGACTTCCTGACCAATACTCCTCCGGATAAATTGGTCATTCAGCTATGGCTACTTGTGGGATTGTGCTTGTGTTTGTCTGCAAAAAAAAAGTTACTACACTTGACAGTATTACTGTGAAGTGCTTTGAGATGTTTCGATGTGATAAGGTCACGGAGTTGTGACGTCCTGTAGCATAGTGGTTAGTGCGCTCCCCTCACAAGCAAGAGGTCCAGGATTTGATTTCCGGATGAGGCAATATCTTAGACAAGTTGCCTTACTCCACACTCAACAGCAACAACAATGAAATTACATTTATAGAGCGCCTTTCATGTTGGGAGGACGTCCCAAGGCGGTGGACAGTCAGGGTCAGGACCTGAGCATGGGGAAGGGGTGATGTTGGGGTGAGGGAAGCCAGAGAGATGGGAGGTCGACTGAAGGCACGATCGAAGAGTAGGGTCTTGAGATCAGCCTTGAAGGAGGCAAGGGAGGAAGCGAGGTGAAGGAACTGTGAAATGGAGTTCCAAAATGGGGAGCAGAGAGGTTGAAAGCCCGGCCACCGATGGTAGGGTGGGTCGGGCGGGAGACATGGAGCAGGCTGGAGCCCGCTGAACAGAGGGAGCGGACAGGTTGGTAGAAAGTCAACAAGTCAGAAGGGTAGGAGGGGGCAAGGCCATGGATAGCCTTGGAAGTGAGGACAAGGATCTTGAATTAGATCCTCTGGGGGATGGGGAGCCAGTGGAGTTGGGCGAGGGCGGGAGTGATGGATGGGGTCACGGAGCCTGGTGAGCAAGAGTACACGAGCTGTAGAGTTTTGGATGATCTGCAGCTTGTGAAGGTAGGAGTTGGAAAGGCCGATGAGGAGGGAGTTTCCATAATCGAGCCTTGATGTGATGAATGCGTGGTTGAGGGTTTCGGCAGCCTGAGGGCTGAGGCAGTGGCGGAGTCTGGGAATGTTGCGGAGACAGTGCTGGTCATGGCGCAAATGTGGGGGAGAAAGGACAGTTCTGGATCAACCAAGACACCCAGGTTCCTGACTGGCTTAGTGAGGTTGAGCGTGCAGCAGTGGAGGCTGATGCTGCCAGCGCCCGAAGTGCGGAGGCGCAGGCGTGAGCCAATCAGGAGGGCCTCAGTCTTGCAGACATTCAGTTGGAGAAAGTTGTCACATCTCCTGTAAAGTTTATTTACATTATCCATACAGTGACCACAGTCAGCAGGCTGGCCTGTGTGCTAGCTGGATATCCTGGAGAGTATCTGTCCCCAAAAAGCTTGCACTGCCTTATCTCTTCTACCAAATATGAAAAAGACAAAACTCATAACTCGGGACTATCATTTAAATTATTCTTTAAGGTGATTCAAATGTCACACTTATGCCAGTTCCACCATCCACAAAGTTCAGCTGCTCTCCACCATCTGTAACCTCACCTGCATCAAACACCGCATATCCATCACCCTAATCCTCGCCAGGCTCCATTGACTCCCTGTCTCCAAATGAATCAACTTCAAGGTCCTCACCTTCAGATATGTATCCCTTCATCCCATAGCACCTTTCCTATCTCTCCATATTCTACCCTTCTCTGCCTTCAATCTCTGCATTCAGGTATCCCAGACCTGCTGCACGAACCCCACTTCCTCCATGCCAGGCTCCCACCAAAAACAACTAATCTAGCTTAATTGATACATTGAAAAGATAACTGGATAAGTATCTGTTTGGGGACAGTATTGGAGAGTATAGAGAAATATAGAGATGAACAAGTACTCCATGGGACCCAACAAAGGTGGAAGTCTGAAGCAAAATGCTGTGTGCAGATTGCCTGCTACATTTGCTTACAAATACAACAACAAGATTACATTTGTATAGCGCCTTTCACGTCGGGAGGATCTCCCAAGGCACTGGACAGTGTACAGCATTTCAGAGCTGGGGTCGGGGGGAGAAGGGAGGGGAGGGGAAGGGGGGTGGCCGATGACATGATGGAAGAGGAGGGATTTGAGGCGGGACTTGAAGGAGGCTGAGGAGGAGGTAAGGCGGAGTGATTGGAGGATGGAATTGCAAAGGTTTGGGGGCAGAGTGGTTGAAGGCTCTCCCGGCAATGGTGGGGCAGGTGGGTCGGGGGCATGGAGCAGGCCAGAGCCGGCTGAGTGGAGGGAGCAGGTGGGTTGGTAGAGGTACAGTCACTAAACTTTACAACATAAGTACTGTGAAGCATTTTGAGGTGTTCCAACATGATCAACCTTGAATTATTGTTATTATAATAGTGTGTATGCTGTTGTGGCTGGAGAAAGGATTGTGTCTGTGGAGAAAGTGGGGATTGAGGTTGAAAAGTGAATATCTGGAATTGGAAGAATATTTCTTCATTTTTGCTGATTTTCCTTTGAGGTTTGAGAACTTCTTTAAAGGAGCCAGGACAGACAGAGTGGGCTGAATGATTTTGTTCTCTTCTTCTGTGCTGTGAATTTCTATGGTTCTATCGTCTATTTGGAACTTTGGCCCAGCAGACAGTAGTTGAGGTGAAGCCTATAATAGGGTTGGTTAAGCACTCAAAGGGTGGTGAATGTATGGAACTCACAACCCCAAAGGGCTGTTGACTCTCAGTCCTTGAACATATTCAAGACTGAGATAGATAGATTTCTTATTGCAAAAGGGATTAAGGGATATGGGGATAAGGCAGGGTCAGGTTATTAGCTGGAGTTAGATTAGAAGATCAGCCATGATTGAATGGCGGGGCAGGCTCGTAGGGCCGAATGGCCTACTCCTGCTCCTACATGTTATGTTATGGTCTGTGCAGAAAGTGGGCTTGATGGCTGAGTGGCCTTTTCATGTTGCTCGTTTTCTTAGGTACTGCGTGTTTTTAACTGGTTAAACTCCAGCAATATCTCAATGTACACTCTGTAGTCCCCAAACCTTGGCTCTTGCCAACCTGTGCCTAATTATTATCGAGATTAAGAAAGCATCCTTCTAGGGAGAGAGCACACATCCCATTACAGACACTTAGAATTTTCCATGTGTAGGTGGCATTCATATGTGGACCTCTATCTGGTTTAGCATGAAGATGGGTTTCCATATGTGTCAGACCGATCAAAAAACTACACCATGTGGTTAATACTGCATGTTTATACAATATAAATCAAAAAAATCAGCCACATGGCCTGCTGTTGTTCCTAGATGATTTGCTTTGAAGCCCATCAATTTCCATTTCCTTCTGGTGCTTATAAAACCACTGACAGCACAATTGACAATAATTACTGAGAAGTGCTTTGAGACATTTTGACCAATAAGGTGCTATAAAAATGCAAATTGTTTTATCTTTCTAGTACATTGTACTTTTTATTTTTTTAAAATCTCAAATCTCATGCTTCCTGAAATATAGTTTTCATTTTGATGGGATTTTACATTTCATTTATCTACAATTGCATCCAGTGCACTATACACCATGCTCACTAACCAAGTTCAAGTGGACCAATTTTCAGTTGTGAATCATTTAAATTGTATTATTATAGGTTATATTCTTTTAGATAATTGATTTTGCCATTGATGTGCAGATCATGTGAGATTTTGGAATATAGCATTCTAAAGTTTAGACAGTAACTGTATACATAGTTGCCCTCACAGGGCAATTCAGCTTGCTTTTTGTCAGTCAAAATAGCTGCTGCTAAATCATCTGAACCTGAGATAAGTGATTCTGCTGTAAAAACAGCTGCTTAAGTACACAGGATGTGCAGTCATGTATATGTCAGCTAGCAGCAAGACATCAGTGTAGGTATAATAGGAGGGAGAATGGGCTGCTGTAAAGCTATTAGATTTAATGCCTGGTTGAACATGTTAATTCTTCAAAATGGAAAATGCAAGAATGCACAATCCAGTTCTGCAACCTCTAAGAATTCTGATGTGCTGATCTAAATTATTAACTTGCATCTTAAAAGATCTGTAACTAAAGTTTTTCAATAACTAGGTTGAACTTTCAACTCTATATACTCCTGGAACTGACTTAGCAATCCTCTTTCTTCTAAGGGGAGGTCATACAGCATTGCCAGTGCTGTGCAAATGGAGCACTACAGCAGTAATGTGGAAGATTTCTCTGTTAACGTGTTTTCTGTGACTCCCTGTCAACCCAGGAGCCCTGGAGTCCAGGTATCCGATGGTGACAAGGCTGGGGCCACCCTGCTGTTCTCTGGTGTCTTTTTGGTCCTGGTGGGCATAACATTCACAATCATGGGCTGGATTAAATATTACGGTACCACTCAGTTAGAATGGACCCAGTTGCTGGGACCCATCTTGCTTTCCGTGGGAGTCACTTTTGTTCTGATTGCTGTCTGCAAGTTCAGAATGTTAACCTGCAAGACCTGCAAGAGCATGAATGAGAGCGCAGAAGAGGCAGAGCAGCCCCCCTGTGGACAGTCCTTTGTTTTCACTGGGATTAACCAGCCTATAACCTTCCACGGAGCTACTGTTGTTCAATATATTCCTCCTCCATATGCATCTCCAGCTCAGGATGGCGTCACCATGAACTCTGCCCGTTTGCCATCAGCCAACAATTCTCAGAGTGCTAACCCACCTAGCATTGTTACAGGGACAGTCCCATGTCCCCCTCAGTACTACACCATCTTTCCTCTGGATAGCACAGCCTTTACAGGAGATGAGAATTGCCCACCTTACCAAGGGCCAGATGCCGATGTGATCAGGTATGTTCTCCATTCCATTTACTTACCTCTAACAGAGGACACTCAAAAGTGCTGAAATGGTGCTGATAAAGAACCCATGATCTAAAGAAATTAAAATGGTTTGGCATTCATTTTAAGTTGTACAAAATACTGGAGTTACTTTGGTTTTACATGCCACTTGTGGACCTATGAATTCTTTTGCAGTTTGCTTATTCCTTAATAAAAGTTTCACACTCTGCTGCCTACAACAGACTCTGACTGTTGGAAGGCATGGGCCAGTGAAAGTGGGGGAAAAATAGTCAGTATAACCCTCATAGATACATCTTATATACCCCACCATCTAGACAAACACAGGCAGGATGTTATTATATAAAAACGGGCACTTGTGATAAACACACAGTATAATTATTTACCTTCAAACTTCAAATATTCCCACTGCAACATAGCTGGCCTTAAATTCCACAGTGTTCACCTGTTTGTCTTAAAAAAATTAAGATGGTGCACAATTGTGGAAAATTCTTAAATTTAGTTTCAATATGGAAGCCAGTTTTCCACGGTTCTTATAAAGAACTGACCTCCAAATTAAGACTGAAGTAAAAAAAAATCCAAAATTCTGCACGATCTTAAATGTAAGACAAAGGTAAAATTTGAGACCAATTTGTTGTGAACAAGTCATGCCCAGACCCAACGGTTTCTCAAAAAAAAACCACTACTGAGAGAGGTAGCTTACATTTGCTTTGATTTTGTAAGTGGCTCTTTTAATTTCACTAGGTCACATCATGTGTCTAAGATGTACTTAAAATCATTTAAATAAGTTAAATACACAACATTGGATTTTCTTGCTCGATATGAGCACACGAGTAAAAAATGCTTCAGCACCAACGAGTGGAATGACAGAAATAGAATGAAATGAAACAAACGCAGGGTCCCTCTCACTCCCATTGTGGCCTCTGTTTGTGCTTTTATCGGTTTATATCAATGTCTTGCTTTCAATTATGTGGAAAAAATTTCCAAAGCAATTCAATATCCATAAAAAGCCACACACAAAAGCTTTAATGACTTCAGTCTGAATGCTATCACCACAACTAATAATATAAATTTGAAAGCAATGGACCGACCGAGGAGTTTAGGATATGCCTCGTTTATGTCATTTTTCCATTTAAGGAAACTTGGAAGTTTGTAGTAAATCTCTCAATCCATTCCCATCCTCTTTTAATTTCTAATTTTTTCTACGCAAAGATAGTGCAAATGCAGGCTTTGAATAAATTACCCCAAAGGAGGTGACCCATCAGTGAAAAAACAATCACAATTATCAGTGGCAGAAGCCTTTCTCCTTAATCTCACCATCCACTTGTTTCAGCGAAAGGACTTCAAGCAGCCCACTAGCTCTGCAGTCCTGATCTTCTGTATGAGTTCTGCCTCGACGATTGTTTTCATGCTAATTGGAAAAATGTGGACACCTTAATAATAAATCCAACAGCACGAGCGAAGGATGCACCCCACTTTCTTAATCTCGATAATAATTAGGTGCAGGTTGGCAACTGAAATGGCACAAATGTGCCTGTAGTTAGTGGCAAAGCTACAGGCTCACTCTGATAAGTTTTACTTTTATTATTCCTCATAGTTTGATCATTTATATCAGAGTCAGAAATGTAACCTAGTTGCATAGAAAATACATGGTATGATCAAGCTCTATTATAAAGTAGTGGTCCATATGTGCATGTATGTGTGTGGGGGGGCTGGTGTCCATAAAATTTCAACGCAAGGAGTTGGCAACCAAATGGCTTGGAAATTATCTATTTTGTAGCGCAGGCACCAGCCAGGGCACGGAAAGCGAGCTGACCACTGGCCGGCTTTTTAGATTTTGGTGAATAAATGTCAGGGAGCTCACCCATTGAGGTGCATTGTAACAGCATTCGTGGAGTCCTGTAGCTCAGTGGTTAGAGCACTCGCTTTGCAAGCGAGAGACCTGAGTTCAATTCCAGGCAGGGCGAAACCTTGGGCAAGTTTCCTTACTCCACACGCCTAATAATAATCCCTCCAAAAACCAAAAAAAAATGATAAATTGGTCATTTTCAATCTACGACTGTTTGTGGGACATTGCTGTGCGCAATTGGCTGCTGCGTTCGCCCACAAATATACAGTCAAGTCACTTTACAGTGTATTCTGTGAAGCGCTTTGGGACGTCCTCCCGACGTGTAAAGCGCTATATCAAATGCAAGGATTATTATTATTATTATTATTATTCTGCTGTACTTGCTTCTGTGTCTGTCTGTATTTTCTGTTCTGATTAATGGGATATTCACATTGCTGGGAACAAATCTTCTGGAGAAAATTGAACTGGACCTCATATAATCGACAGGGGACGTTTATAGTGCCCTTTACACTCATGTTGACGCAGACAGAATTAAAATGTATATGGTAATAAACAAAAGTCACCAAGTTCTATAATAATAATCGCTGCATTTGATATAGTGCCTAATCACGTTATTGAGATGTTTCAAAGCGCTTCACAGAATATACTGTAAAATGAATTGACTGTATATTTTGTGGGCGAAATGTGGCAAAGTGTTGAATTCAAAAATCACTCCATTTATGATCAGTTTCATAAGCACTGGCCAGCTACTTTGTTCCTGTCACTCATGAGGTAAATTGTAATTTGAGAATCCTCTACTTAGATTGTGATTCAAAAGCAAATCAAATGTGATCCGCTCACAAGTTCAAGAGCGGTTTATATGAAGAAGGTCTTTCAGTCCATTTAATCGGATCCTCATTGAATATCCGTCCTACGGTCATTGTCTTTCCATTACAGAATTACGTTGCTTTTCAAATGAGATGACATTAATAAAAAAACTTTTAGTATCTAAAAATGCAAATCGTAGGAGTGAAAGTATTTCAGAATTGGACATAATAAAGTAATGAAGCTTCTGCAGTACTGTTGAATATCTTTGATATGTCCTGTATTACTGTAATACTAGTGCTGTGTTTCCACAGGGCAGAGGGAAACCAGGAGGATTCACAGGCTGTGTTAATAGTTAATGAAGTTCCAGATACAGTAGCACCACCTTCATATGAAGAAATCTTCTCTGTACCCAGTGAGGATTCTACAGAACAAAATTACCTCTGCTGAATTTACCAATTCTCTCTCTCTCTCTCTACTTTAAAAGCAAGCATACAATGTGTTGCAATGGATATTCCTGGAAAGATTATATATTGATAATCAGCTATTTGTACTAGAGTTTAACAATTGTAATTCTAATGTTGTACATTTATACCTAAAAAAAATTAGCAACTGCATAAATATGTTCACAAAGCATTGTAACTATTTAGAACAGATTTTTTTTTATCCCTTATAACAGTAAATAGCTGTTTTTAGTAATTATTTTTTCGTACCATGCTGTGCAAATGTGACAATTTACAAGATTAACTGGAGATAATCTGATGACATGAAAAGACCTACTTCATTCAGACGCACAAAATGTCTTAAATTGTCGCCTCCTTGCTATAAATAACACAACTATTTATAGCAGCTTTGATCACATTGCTTTGTTTTTAATTTGGTGTTTCTTATCATTTCAATATCATTTCAAATGACTGAAGGCTTTGAGTCTGCTTTTTTCACTCTCAGCACACAATATGCAGAAAGCTCACTGTTTGGAAGCTTTTATACATACAGTATTTTCACAAGCTGATGTGAGAATGTTTTAGAAATATGACAAAATAAAAAGAAATTTAGAAGTTCTCAACAGATAATGAAGTGGTAGAATCACAAAATGTTACAGCCCAAATACGGGTCTTTGATCACATAAACTCGTTCTGTTGGTTTCTCCACTTGAGCTAAAGTATAGTCTGATCCCATTCATCTGCTCACACTTTTTCAAACATCTACCTTAACTCCTTTTAAAATAATTATTGGATTCTTCTTCAGCTACAGTCTACAGTAGATGATAATAATAATAATCCTTGCATTTTATATTGCGCCTTATCATGTCTTTGAAGTGCCTCAAAGCCCAAACAAACCGACTTGGGAAGACTGAAACCCCATGTTTTCGTACATTAATACTGTTTTCATATGAATGCATCCAGACTATCAACGTAAATGTATGTATCTTCACAATGGTAATTTAATATAATAAATAATTATATCATCCAAGTGCTTACATCCAAGAGCATGTTTACCTTGGAAAAATTGACTGCAAGTCAGGGCGGGGGATGGAATTGGTGTTAAGACAATATAATCCAGGTGGTTCATTGATTCATCACATTTCATTGTTCCTTCCTGCTTACCTAAAAGAACTTTCATTTAGTACCACATTGTGACTCTGGAAAGCAATTGGTATCCGCAATACAGTAAAGGAAACCATCATGAAAGAGCTTGGAAATCAAGTCGAAGGGATGATGACCATAAACAGAATGATCAGTGAAGTTAGCTTATTCTTTTGCTCAGCTTCATCTTGCAGCACTTTAAGAATGTGGAGAAGATGGAGGTTCAGATGCAATCCTCTGCTAAAACACAGCGATGTACTCCATAGCTTCTTTACTGCTGGATTGAGCCCTTCCTCTTGTAGCCTATGTATTTCACTTATCTTTGTTGGAAGTCTTCCCATTTAGAAGGGCACTGTTAAAAATACTCTTCAGTCACTGGTTGTTGAGGGAAGCACCGTTGTTTGGATCATTAGGCAAAGCCACAGTAATTGGCAAAAAGAAAAGATTCCATTCACCAGGAATCTGACAACTAAGCGGGAGGGGGGACATTAGAAAAGTTGAAAGTAAGTCTCTGACTAGAGGAGCTACTTTTGGCTACATAGATGCGAGAGACGGATATTTCTGTTGCATCTGTTTATCTCCTATAGCTTCATTAGAAGAGCTTTCCATTTAGAAGGCCCTGACCATTTCCCCCTCCTTGCTCCCTCCCTTCCCTCACCCTGACCATTTCCCCCCTGCTCGGGTCATGACCCAACTGTGCAGCGCCTTGGGACGTCCTCCTGACGTGAAAGGCGCTTTATAAATGGAATCTTGTTGTTGTTGTTGTTGTTGTATCCTTCAGTCACTGGTTGTTGAGGGAAGTGCCATAATATGGAGCACTAGGCAAAACCATCAAAGTAGTTGGGTAAAAGAAAACATTTTGAGATGTCCTCCTAACTATTATTATTTTTGTCTGAAAACAGAAATAGCTGAAATGAAAGAAAGCTTGACTTAAAAGTAATAATAATCCTTGCATTTGATATTAAAGTAACAGGTTCATATATTAGTGCTGGTGTCAGAGGCTCAGAAAAACTAGAATTTGAATAGCAAACCAACTCTCTTCTGAATCACACCTGTTAATAAGGAACAATTTATTAATTACTCCAATAAAGTGACTGTTTGCACCACAAAAAAGCTCCTATGAATTTGGCATATATTTTAATGAAATTAGTCTAAAAAACTGTCTATTGGCAATTCGATATCAATGTACAATGTACAAATATCAATCAATTCGTTATCATGTACATCTGTGCTAACATCTGGATACAGATTATATACTCTCAAAGATGTGCTTCAAAGTTACAACCCCCAGGCAAATGATTGCACAATCTTCATTCAGGCCGGCAGCGTTTATGACCTGCAAAAATAGACAATGTCTCAACATCATTGGATCTGTGCACTGACCATGAATTCATGTGAATGACCATCAGAATGGAGTCCAGCACGTATTTGAAAATTAAAACACAAGGTAGGGAGGAAGCAAAGAGTAGAAAGTTCAGAAAATAAAATGTTTCTTCGAGAAAGTACTCTGCAAGTCAAGACTACGTCTTCTTGACTCAAGCACTATAGGTGTCAGCTTGGCTCAGCTGGTAGCATGCTTGCTGCTGGGTCAGATGTTTGTGTATTGGAGCCCCTTGAATGCATAATCACCCAGTGATACTTGAGTGCAGTACATGGAAGAGTGAGTGCTACATTGTCAGAGTTGCAATCTCTCGGATGACATGTTTAAACCAAAGTCCCATTTGCCTGTTCAGGTGGACTTTAAAAATCCCATGACTATTCAGAGGAAAGTGTGTTTATCCCAGTGTTCTGGTCAACATTCCTCCAGATTAACTGGTCATTCACCTCATGCTATTTGTGAAATCATTTTTACGCAAATGGCTGCTGCATTGCCAGTAAAAACAGTGCCAACAAGAACAATAATTAACTATGAATTGGTTTCATGTGATAAGGCAATAAGGCACTTTCCAAATGTAAGTTTTTTTNATGGAGCTGTTTAGCTAAGTGCACAGTTTTAATTACAGTTTTATCCATATGTAGAAGAGGCAATTAACCTTCCTTTGTTTATGGGTTAAGAGGCAACCAAGCTGATATAAAACCTATATATAGCGAAAATGAAGGTCAACTGTGGCATTTCTAATTTGTTGGTGTAAACAAATGAAGTTAGGAGAAAAGAAATGCTGTTGTTTTTTTTACAATTATTAAAGATGAGTCATTGCGATTGCAAAAGTGAAAACAGGGAAAACTTTGCAAATAGTGCAAATAGCGCCTGACAGTAGAAAATGTAACTTGAGACATGAAATGCATCTCCTGCAGAGAACTTCATATGTGTCACTGAAGACCACTTCAGTTCAGTATTATAGAAACTAATAGGTAAGGTTTTATTTGGTCAGATGGGTGTCTGACACATGTGGAAACCCATCACCCCACTTAAGAGCATCCAAGCCAGACTGAGAATTCTGCATATGCATGCCACCTTTGCATGGAAATGTCCCTGTGTCTGAAATGGGATGTCCACTCTCTCTTTGGAGGCCGGACCCCACTTACCCAATTTCTGGTAAAGTATTAAGTGCAGATTGGCAAAGAGGTTTGGGGACCCAGTGTGTGTTGCAGTTCTGCTGCAATTTAGTTAATGGATAGATAATTATTGAATGAGAATTTCTAGTTTAAATGTAGCCTTTGACAAGACTAAGGTGAGTCTAAATTATCAGGAGTTGCCAAAGCTCATCTCAAGAGTAAGAATGGAACCTATGGATATACAAGAACATTTTTGCATCAAATTGAAAAATAGTAATGCATGTAAATATTTTGTACTTTGCAAAAAATATTATAAAATAATTGTAAATAAAAACTAGTTCCTAAATTCTTCTGTTTCTTCAATTTCACATTATGGCATGCAGAATTGAAAATTTACAGTAGCTGTAACCTGTTTCTAACAGGGATTCTTAGTGCCTTTAGATAGTTTACAGAACCAATAGGTTTAAGAAGATACAATTGTTTGGTACTTCTCTGTGTGCAGGACATTGCTGAATATCATTGCATAGTTCCTAAACAAGACAAGAATAGGACATTTATTTATGTCACCTGATGATGGCGCAGGCATCCTCTCCTTATACAATCAAAATGTAGGTTTGATTGGCAAACGCTGGTGACTTTTTTTGTTTGCTGAGTGTAACAGACTAGAAACAGGAGTCATTTTATGTGAACTATTGGAGCATTTGGCTATAAACTCTCAAGGTCACATTTATAATGGGTTTTTCAATAACTGAGAAACAATGACAGATTCAAAGGTGTGGAAGGAGGGATTGGTAGGGGCCGGGGTGTGAGGGAGAAATAGTGATTAGATTCTAATCACTAAGTTCTGCACTATAAGTAGTTAAGATATCTCACAACGGTCATTATTGCACAATTACATTTTATGATTTGAAATTCGTGCAAAGGCTGGGGAGCTCTAATTGAAAACTGCTGGCTTGAGATGTTGGATTGGGGTTGATGATTTCTGGAGATCATCAAAGTAGAAGGACTGAGAGCCAAACATACAACCTTGGAGAGATAATGCTTTGCCCTCTGCCTTTCTTAATTTTAGTAGCTTTCGAAGGTCACAATCAGTGCTTCCCACCTCTTGTGCAAATATCAATATTGTAGTATTATATTGAAATGACCTTGAATAGTGACACGTAGGAAGAGTCTAGGAACAATGTGGATATTAAATGGCCCTTTGGCGCTATTGGAAAAGATAAAGGAGTATCTATTGGTGTCCTGGACATTATACCTCAAGAAAAAATTCACCTGAGGGATATTTTTTGCGCTTTGTCATGCATAAAAATGGTTACTGTATTTACCTACAAAAAGCCACTACACGGGACAGTAATTAGGTGACATGACAAGACAGCATAAACAGTACATACAAGTTTGCAGAGCCTTAGTTGCAAACAGACAAAGGTGAAATTAAATCCCACCATCAGCAGAATACCATTGCTACAACCTCACGCTCCTTTTCACCATGATCATCATGTCTATTTGAAACGTTTCTCACAAACTGGTTGGAAACCGGTTTTGAAAACATTGCTGATGCTGGTATTCTCATATTATTGCAACTCTGTTTGGGAAAAACCTTCAGTCTTTCTGCCCAATCTATTGTAATTCCACAATCCTTTCGCCTCGGCCCCTCCCTTGCCTCCTTCAGTGCCCATCTCCAGACCTTCCTCTTTGACCGTGCTTTCGGTCATCCTCCTACCCCTACCCTCCTGCTCTCCACCCCTCCTGATCCCAATCTCCAGCTTGGGTACACATCTATGACTGTCCAGCGCTTTGGGACATCCTCCCGATGTGAAAAGCACTATACAAATATAAATTTGTTGTTGTTGTGTGGAGCTGTGCACCATGTTTATCCAAATGGCATTGCGTGCAAGAGAAACAGTGAGGGTTTCGATGGGATTTGATTCATTGCACCGGCTGCTTGTAGAGAAACAGTAAAAGCTTTGCTAAACACTTTGCGATGAAGACAGTACCTTGTAAATATTTTATAGCACTAGATTACACTTCTAAGATGCAATAAAATAAATATAAAAGTGTATTGATTTTCAAAACAGTACATTCATTCTCAGTTAATGGCCCCGCTGTGTTGCTGAGCAAGTTTGTTTTCAAAGAAACATTTGCTCAGGCATTGATTCCGTTTCTATGAATTTGTTTAGTGGAATTGACTGCATAAAGGAAATATCTTTCTTGTAATACGAGGAAACCAGGAAGGCAGTGCACAAAATTAATCATATTATATTTTTTGAGTTGACAGTCACATATATACCAGGACCAGAAATCAGTGCCTGTTCTAAAATAATAACATCAAATACTTGTGGGCATATCAACAACTACAATAACAACAAAAGCTTACATTTATATAGTGTCCTTCGTGCGGAGTAGCATCTAGGAGCGCTTATCATACTGTAAAGGGCAGGATTCTCCACTTAGAATTTAGTTTTGCCAAACGTTTACATCAATCGTTCTGATAGATATTTGCACACTTGAAAGTCAGAGGCTGCTGTCTGCATAATGTTGGTTAATGATGCTGAGGAAGTAAATTTAGAATGATACTTTCAGAGACGCCAAGGCAGCAGAGCAAAACATCAGTTTCATAATTGTGAAAGGCAACACTGGGGCAGAGACCAGCAAGTGTTTCTTTGCACATAGGGCAATAAACAGCTGAAATCAATTTCAAATAAATGCAGAATGCTGGACTCATTTAAGAAATAGGTTGAGGCTGCAATGGAATAACAGTAAGGAGGATGTTCTGGTAAGAAAAGATTAAATGGGCTGAGGGACCTTCTTTGTCCTAACTCATGTGATCAACATGAAAGAAATTGTACTTAATTTTTAGTATTTTTATTCTTCCTAGTTTGTGCAGGTCCCTTAATTCCCATATTTTAAACCAGTCAAAACATACAGGAGCTGCAGTGCAAATCTCACAAGCTAAGCAGATGAATGTTGTATGTACCATGGTAAAACCTACAACTATAAAGTGTTAACATCTTTTTTTGCTGATGCCACTTCCTCCCTCACACACTGAACTAATCTCACGCTTCTTTTCATTGAACTCCATCTTGAACATGACCTTCTTATCCTTATACTGTATTCCCGTAGATCTAAATCCCAAAGCCCTAGTGCCTTTTTCAAAGGTTTTATCCATCTGGCTCACTGCATTCAGTGACCTGTGAATATGTACTCCTCAATCCCTCTGTTCTTCTATCCCTTTAAGATTAAATTATAGGTTGTTCCTATGTTTTTCCTCCCGAAATGAACTAATCTCACACTTCTTTTAATTGAATTCCATCTGCCACTTGTGTGCCCATTCAGCCATCCTATCAATATCTACACATATTTTATTTTGATCTTACTTGGTGCTTACTATTCCCCCTACTTTTGTAATATCTGCAAACTTTGAAATTTTTTCCTCAATTCATAAGTCCAAATTTGATGGAAACATCATTGTTCATTGCTGTCCTTCACATAAAATCACCCATATTATTTCATCATCCTGAAAACTCCACATAAATCTGCTTCTAAATGTCTTTTTTTTAATCAGTTCCGTGGTTTCCCCATGACCCAACATTAATGGACTACAGTAAACTGGGCTGAGATCCAACATTTCGCTTTATAAAATTTAATATGGTCACAGCTGAAGTTTGAGCAGGTCATGAAAAATAAGCATATGTGAACTGACTTTCTGTGACTGGGAGTAATGTACAGGCAAGTCAGATTCGTATGAGCAGATGTTAGAATTACTATAGGTGGGCAGTTGACTTCAAGCCAAACTTGCAGTGCTATGATTTTGTACATAAATAGAAAGCATTAGGACAGTTATACTGCTGTAAAACACAAGTGTGGCTATTCGACTTCTTTGACTTGTTCTCAGACCTATAATTTCCGTCACTGGGTTTCCGTCACTCACGTTCAAATTTGGCTTCTATGTGAGAAATGTTCATGCTGAGTTTCTGATGCATGGGAAACATATCACCGTGCTTAAGAGTGTTCAAACCAGTCAGAGTTCCACGTATATATGCACCTACATGGGGTAATTTCCATGTGTCTGGACTGGAATATGCATTCTCTCCCTGGAGGGACACACCCTGCTTACCTAATTCTGGGAAGTATTAGGCACACAAATGAGCAAGAGTCAAGGACTTGCGGACCCCAGAGAATTGGGTACAACTGAAGTTTAGCCAACTAAAATCCCATTGTTTGCATTGGCAAGCTTCCGCTGCTTGTTCAACTAGAACCACCCTCTCTTGTGGTAAAATTGCCTTGCAGTGTTAACAGGAGCTGAGTGGGAAGAATCTCTGCTTCCTGAGATGAACAGCAATTCTGCCAAAGATACATGACCATCACCTTTAGAAAGCAATGTACTTTGTTATTCTACAGGTCGCACAGTATTTGGAGATTACTATTCTTGTGTGTAGGCCTGACTCAGTTGATAGCACTCTAACCTCTGAATTAGAAGATGAAACATTAAACCAAGGTCCTATTTGACTGTTCAGGTAGATGTAAAAGATTTCATGGCCCTATTCTAAAAATGAAGGGAGTTTCTCCCAGTGCCCTGGCCAACAGTCCGTCAAATAAATTTCGTCATTAATTTTACAGCTGTTTGTAGTCACTGTGCACAATTGGGCTGCCACATTCACCTACAATTTACAGTCACTGCATTTCACAGTAAAATCCTATGAACTGCTTTGGGATGTCCTCCCGACATAAAAGGCGCTATACCAAATGCAAGGATTATTATTGTAATACTATTATAAATGCTGAATAAACTCTTATAGGGGGAACTTTAGACCTGAGAAAAGTCTTCAAGATTCCTGCTTATTTGGGGAGTAATTTGGCTCCAGATTTGGTGGCATTATATTCTGAAGTTCCACCTACTTTAATACTGTTATTAGTCCTAAAATTTATGAATGAGTAGAATTATTGCAATATTTTAAATTCAGTCTGGTTTATCATTAAGACGTGCAGAAACCCAGGTTCCAAATTGAGACTGAATTTAAGAATTGTCCATAATTCTGCATGATTTTAAACATTAAGACAAAATCATTTTACAGACCAAACATAAGGCAGAATTTCAGGCCATATATTTCACACACCTAATATAATGTTGTAGTTATGTGAGTGCCAATAGAAGCTCTGGTTAAAAGCAACCTTTGGAGATCAATTTTGGCTATTCTGCTCCATTTGATAATGTTTACAAACTTTGAGCAAACAGGATCAGAGCATTGGAACATCAGAACATTGATAACAGAAACAAATTTGCCCCATCATGATGATTTTTCACCCCTTCAAAGACAGTCATTAAAATGGGTTTGCAATTGTTTGGAAAACAGTACAATTCAATTTATTAAGGCCAATACAGAGGAATGCAAGAAATAGTCCACAGATGAAAAGGCATTTCTGAATGTGGGTTCTTTATTATGCTCTAGTTGATAGCATTAGCCAACATTTGGAAATGAATCACAGCTTTCAGTTTTTTCTGTATGTCCTTTTAATTTAATTTTCTCTGAGTTACCTGGCATCAATGCTGACGTCTTTCAGTATCTTCCTGGCCCCACAAATTACAGTGCTGACAATTCTTTTATCAGCAAATAAAATTATTCCGATTTGGAAAATGTAGCAATCTTAATGTAAGCAGCTGTTCGGAAAGAAGCTATTTGATATGTGAAACAACAATCAGAATCTGCATTTATTTGATAATTTTGCTTTTTGTAGTTGCAGCTTCGGAACAAGCACATGACCACTAGCTTTGAACAGTCAAAGCACACATCAAACGGCTGCATTAGGAAAGTAAATTACTTTTCTTCATGAGGAGTTGAAAGCGTATCCAGGTAACATCAAGGTCTTGACTAGGTACAAACATTCCCTTAATAGCCTCATTACATCATGAAAGCCATAAAGCTGCATCTGAAATGGTTATAAAATTGATATTCTCTCTGACCGTAACGAAAAGCAATTTTAACATTTTTTGTGGTGCTTGTCATACTAGCCATGTATTCTGCTGATGTTAAATATATTTAAAAGTTAATGTTGATACCTACATATTTGTGTTAAGGTTTAGATGTCACCCTGGCTGATTTGGTAGCACATTCACCTCTGTCAGAAGGTTGTGAATTCAAGCCCTGTGACAGGATTTGAACTCACAGTCTAGGCTGACACTCCAATGCAGTGCTGAGGGAGTGCTGCAGTGATGCAGGTGATGTCCTCCAGTTGAAACGTTAAATTGAGATCCCATCTGCCTGTTTGGGTGGATGTTAGAAATCTCATGGCACTATTCGAAAAAAAGTTTCTCCTGGTGTCTTGGGCAACAAACTCCAAAATAAAATTGGTCATTCACTTCATGGCTGTGTGTGGGACATTGCTATTTGCATATTGGCTAGCACATTTGCCTACAAAGATACAGTTATTACACTTCACAATAAAGATCATGGGAAGCGTTTAGAGATGTCTTGACAAATGATAAGGCGCTTGATCAAATGCAATGCATTTGAGCAGCATTGAATGTAATGAAGAGCGGTGGAATGACACTTGTGATTGTCCCTCTCCACTAAGCTGCCAATGCCAGAACCTCACTGTGGGAAACACCATCCAGAGGTCAAGCAATTCCTTGCGGGTAAATCACAAGAGTGCCTTGTGCCTACTATGAGAACTCTGGTTAAAGCCTGTCACTTGAAGGCTCACCCATTTTCTTGACAGGAGTGAATTCAGCGGTACCTGGGAAAAGGAAATAAAATAACATGAAAATAACCTGAAAGTAAAGATGGCTTGTAAATTTCTCTTTACACAAACGTGTGTATGGAGAAGTTAGGGAGACCTGCAAGAAGTGCATTTAAAATGTCCAGGTGGGAGATAACAAAGACTTTAATAAGATATGACTTAATAGATATTGGAAACATTTCAGTAAGATCTAAGTTGTGATTTTAAATGAAAAAACAAATTGAGTACAAGTCTGCTAGGCTGCCCCCTGCTGAATCCTGTGAAAATGCAAATACCTTATTGAAAGATGAAAATGTATAGATTGCTGTTTGAGATTTGCAATGCAACATTTTTTTGTAGAGCAACAATATTTTAAAATAAGAAACAATTTTTCAATAATGAAAATATTTCTGAAAAAGATATTGGGGTGAAAAATGCAACATGCTTTGTGATAATACAGTTTTGTCATGTTTTTCATCCCATTGTTTGCCCACATTTATTTACTAAAAATACAGTTTTGAGATTACCTTTCAATGTACTTTTAAAAAAATCATTTGCATAGACTTCAGTGATGTCAACAATGTAGTAATATATTTACATTCAATACAGCGCCTTATATAGTTGGGGGTCTCAAAGTGCTTCACAAGATTTTGCTGTGAAATGTAGTGAGGTTTTGTAGGCAAAATGCGGCAGCTAATTTGTGCACAGCAATATCCCACAGATGTGAAGTTCATAATCAATTTAATCTGAGGGATTGTTGACCAAGAAACTCTCTTCTCCTTTTGAATAGTGCCATAGGATCTTTAACATCCACCTGAACGGGTAGACAGGTCTTTGGTTTAACATCTCATCCGAAGAACAGCATCTCTGACAACGCAGCACATCCCCAGCAATGCATTGGAGTTTCAGCCTAGACTGTGAGTTCGAAGTCTGGACATGGACCTTCTGCCTAAGAGGCGAGAGCACTACCAACTGTGCCAGGCCAAGCTGATACCGCATATAATGTAACATAATATAATAATATAAAATAATGTAATCCTTGGCATTATATGTTTCTCATCACAACTGTCAAAAATCAGCTAAAAATATACCTCATTTCCTTTGAGCGGCAACAACGCCTTTCAGGTCAGAAGGACGTCCCAAGGTACAGGAGGTCTTCAGAAACAGCACTTGCACAGAACCATACGGCTTAACTTTTTATTTACAGATCTTAAGTTTAAATGAAGCCAGAGTTGCAATGATTCAAATGGAAGGATTATAATTATTATTATTTGGGTATTATTATTCCAGATCATGTTCAGATGTTTTTGAACGACTGAAAATCAAATGACAGGTCACACAATTTAATTTTTTTTCCCTTCTGGAGTATGATTCCAAAGTTTAAAGTAACTTTTACTCAGAAACATCCCAGAGACGAGGTAGGGAAACCTGTTGATAAGTCAGAATTTAAAGGGAAAAAATCTGTTTTTCCCCCCTCCTCCTCTCCCGAGGCATGTTGATTTCTTTTTTCCTTTTAATGGTATATGGGTCCTAACAAAAGACTCTTAGATATTTCCAAGGTGTCTTTCTGTTTTGGGGCTCAAAGAAGGCCTGTAGAGTAGAGCAACAAATACTGAGGTCTCTAATTTCCTCTGAAGTCTAAGGAACAAGCTATAAAGCAGAGACTCTGTCAACATTGCACAACCTACATAAACTATTAAAAGAGGAATTTATGGCTGTGGTTATCTGCCTACTGAAATAATGTTGTTACAAGGCTGCCCTAGCAAACCATCAGTCCATATTGCGTGATCAAAATCAAAGAAGCTGAAATCTAAGTAATGAGATTGTTCACAAGCAGAGTCAGATAATAACGTATAGAAGGTGTTAGTTAACAGAGGTGTCTTCAGAGAGCCCTTTAAGATGATGCATTGGTGATTTCAGCCATTTTGGGTTTTATATTTCTTCACATGCCATTTCAGGCAATCATTGACAGCCTCCTTTTTATAACCTTCAATAGCACTTTTCAAATGCACTCGAGTAACTCCTGTCCCAGTCTGTACATAAAGCTAGAGCTTCATCCGAAGGACAGCATCTCCAACAATGCAGCACATGCCCAACACTGCATTGGAGTGCCAGCCTAGACCGGGAGTTCAGAATCCCAATTTGGGGCTGGAGCCAACAACCTTCTCACTCAGAGGCAAGAGTGCTATAAACTGAGTCAGCGTTATGCAACCAATAAACCATCGAACAAGAAAAAGATGCCATATAATCAAATGCAAGGATTATTATAATTGTAATTGTTGTAGATTGCAGAGAATTCTTGAGTCGCAAGGATGCACTAGTACTTATGGACAGCGACTGATTTGATATCAATGAATCATGTTGTGAACCACTGCTTTTTAATAATAATAAACCTTGCTTTTGACATAGTGCCTTATCACGTCATTGAAACCTCTCAAAGTGCTTCACACAATATACTGTCAAGAGAAGTGACTGTATATTTTGTGAACGAAACACGGCAGCCGATTGCACACATCAGTGTCCCATAAACAGCCATGGATTGAGTGACCAAATTATTATTGTTTTTAAGGGGTTTATTACCCCTGGAAAGTGATCTGCCAATCGACTCTCAACCGGGTTCCTACGTACTGCTCGGTAAACAGAGGATGTGGAGTAAGGAAACTTGCCTAAGGTTTCACCCTGCCCGGGAATCAAACCTTGGTCCTCTCGTTTACGAGGCGTGTGCTCTAACCAACTACAGTGAATGCTGTTCCTGGGTGAACTCACAGCTGGACTGGTGTATTTTTTCAATCATTATGGACAATGATTCCTTTTAATGCTATGGAGTGATTTGAGTATTTGGAGCGACTTGGGAGCAGTAGCACATTTGTTTGAGGAATTGTTTGATGTTGCATAAAAGACGGGTTGATTAATGATGTCTGAATGGAAAGGATTTCAGTGGAGAAGACATTAAAACCTTATTTGGAATGGAATTCTTGGAACTTATCTAAATGACCATTGAACACGAAAAACGTTTGAAAAATGTTTGAAAAATGTACTGATTTGTACCTCGACAAGCATGGCATAAAATTTACTCAATTCCTCCGCACTATAATGCGTAAAACATTTCATTATAAAACAACGGAAGATTCTAAATACGTTATGTTTTTAGGATTAAGACAATTATCTTAAAATTTAACATTGTGTAAAATTTTGGAAAACAACCTTAAGTTCGGGTACTCATTTTCTGCAGTACTGAAAAAAAAATCAGCTTCCAAATTGAGATTGAAGTTGAGACTCTGTGGAATTTTGGATAACAATCTTAAATTTTAAGACAATGTTAAGATTACTCAAACAGTGTGTGTTGCATGCGGATCTTTTGCCCCTAGAATTTGAGTACATCTTCTCAGGGAAAGCCAAAGCAGTCAAGTCACTGTACTTGTACTTGTACCATAATAATAATAATCCTTGCATTTGATATTAGCACATTATCACTTTGCAGCATCTTGGGACATCCTCCTGACGTGAAAGGAGCTATACAAAGGTAATTTGTTGTTGTTGTTGTTGTCGGTGAGAGTCTCAAAGCGCTTCACAGAATATACTCTACAGAATTGAGTGTGTATTTTGTGGGCGAAATGCTGTAGCCTACAAACAGTCGTGGAATGAGTGACCACATTTTGTGGGGGGGAGGGATTCTTACCCCCAAAAAGTGATCCGCCAATCGACTAACAACTGGGTTCCTACTTACTGCTAGGCCTACAGAGGCATGCGGAGTAAGGAAACTTGCCTAAGGTTTCATCCCACCCAGGAATCGAACCTGGGTCTTCTCGCTTTCGAGGTGAGTGCACTAACCACTATGCTACAGGACTCCACTATACTACCATTATTACACCAAAGGGCTTACAGATCGCATTCTCTACACAAACTCTATTGCAACTCATCAAATTCAAATCTCTTAATACTCTATCAGGCTGCCTTGTCAAGGAAATCCCAAGTGTTTTCTTTAAAAATGATTACAATTTTTTTCAGATGGAAAAAAAGCAAACCAAGACTGGAATTTCCTGGTGCCTCAGGCATACCAAAATACACCACAGTGTACTAACACTGCCGCTCTAGGTATTCCTTCTGGTATACACACTGACATCTGCAGGATTTTATGTTCATGTAGGGACATTCTGTACTGTATATGCTGATTTTTGGAGTCCTATTCTATAACTCAAAGCTCTGAGTTGCTATAACCACATTTGGGCAAAAGTCTTGAAATACAAGCACATTTACAGAGAGTGAAGGACATGTTAAAGAAAATGCTGTGCAACTTATAGCTTACTAAATGGCCTGCTGGTTTTAAATTATGTGCAGAAAGTGTTACTTATGCATCATAAACTCTTGCAGGATCTACATGCTAATAACTGGGAAACTCACAGCAGGCAACATGCAAGCTCATATCCTGCATAGGTTAAAGGTTGCCTGGCAAACTACTTCATTGTGCTGCTTGTCATCTGGTGGACCACCCATTGTGAAAAATACTTTATTTCAGCAGTTTCATTCATAAAAAAATTAAGGGTAAAGAACACTTTTGTTTCTTTATCACACTTGAAGACAATAAGTGCTTTTTTCAGTGAACACCCAGCTATTTCTGCTGCTATATATTCTCAAATTAATATCTGTGCATTCTGCATTGTATAATAATTCATACGTTTGTGAATGAAAACAATGACCAAATACAGGGAGAAGTTGCTTGCAGAGATTATCGATCTCTTTCAAAGAGCCAGCGCAGACATGACGGGCTGAATATAATAATAATAATCCTTGCATTTCATATAGCTCTTATCACATCTTCTAGACGCCTCAAAGCGCTTCACAGAATATACTGTAAAGTGAATTAACTGTACATTTGTGCCCGAAACAAGGCTGGCAATTGCATATAGCAGAATAGCGGCTATGGTGATAATATCACAGGCGGATGTGAGATTATCACTGGTGATAATTATCAAATCACACACAACATACACCTCTCTCTCCCCCACTACCCCCCCACCCCTACCTCCCCCCACTCCCCACCTATACATTTCTGTCGCACTCTGTTTTCTATCTTTCCTGTTATCGTGAAAAATAGCTAAGAAAAAGGTTATCACTATCTAACATCTGATTAGAATCTTTTCATCAGTTTCTGATAAATCTGTGGACCGTAGGAGACCGAGTAGCAATTAAAGGGATGTTTATGTTAATGTAATGGGCTCACTCTGCATGGCACTGTAGAATGTTCTCTTGATCATAGCAACTCTAATCTTGCTCAGTGGTGCATTGGCCATCTGGTGGGTGTATGTGTACCACAGGCCAGGAGATAACAATGGGATAACATGGAGTAAATTATATTGTGAGTAATCTGGAACTGGTGTTCAGTTACGAGGCTATAATCTGAAGGCTCAATGTCAATCATGTCATAAACTCAAGGTTTGATTCCAGCCTTGAACTCACTCACTGATATGTTCTATATGTAGAATATAGACTGTTTGCATATTTAGGCATTTTCTTGTGCAAAACTTTAAAAAAATTAAAAATATAATTTTTTTAAAAAAAAACCTAAAATACAAAGTGAGAGAGAGAGGAGGGAATGGCAGGGCAGGTGATGTGCGAGGACTGTGGTATGTGGGAGTTGATGGAGAGCAATCTGAGCCCGGGTGACTTCATCTGCAGCAAGTGTCTGCAACTGAGGAAGCTCCAGCTCAGAGTAGCGCAGTATTAGGGAAAGTGAGAGCATCCTGGAGCCAGTCACTACCCTGAGGCTCAGGGAACGTATAGATTACATTACTAGTCAGGGACAGGACAGGGTGA